GGGGACTCTCAAGAGTCTTCTCCAGCACCACAGTTCAAAGGCATCAATTGGATCTTTGTCGGCAAGGTGACGTCTCTGCTTTTTAATATGCTATCTAGGCTTGCCATAGCTTTCCTCCCAAGGAGCAAGCGTCTTTTAATTTCATGGCTGCAGTCTCCGTCTGCGGTGATCTTGGAGGTGTACTTTGTAGAATCAATTGTTTTGCATTAATCAATATTAATACCAAACATTAAATGTTGTGTTAGAAAAACATATGCAGTTGAGTGGTGCAGAGTAGTCACCATATGTACATTTGCTCATAGACTAACATAATTGGAGACATATTCATCCTGACTAAAACTAGCAGGGCTGCATCTTTTCTCATAATGCAATGGTTATTGTTGAAATTTAATGTTAGAACTTCTGAAAAAGCATTATTTACATGTGTGGCCCATTTCTCCTCTCAAATCTTTGGTATGATCTTCAAAGCATCCTCTTTGTTTTAAAAAAACTGGTAATGCAATTTGTACCAAAGTTTAGTATTTATCCTTCTTGAAAGTAAATGTCTACAGTGTTTATGGTTAGGTTAACAATTAGGACAAAAATATTCAGGATGGTATGAATTTGAGGATTACAGGAAATTGTTAAAGTTAACATGAAAATTATGATGAAACTGATTAATTTACATATTAAATTATATTTTTATCTGTTTAACTGCCCCATTTCATGATAAAATGGTTTCTATTAGTTGATTCTGAATACTTTATCATAATTTATTCATATTATATCTAGCTGTCACTAACCAGAAGAGCTGCTTATGGCTACTTTCTATGCTTAGCCATGGATGTAACCATGTATGTTCATGGTATAGTCAAGTGTGCTTAATTATAAACAAACCATGGATGGATATTTTGCTAGCCTCGCTACTCAGTTGAAGGAGACAATATCTGAATCAATCTTAGGGTTTAGCATGTCATGAAAAAATGTTCTACCTAAATATGTCTTGTCTTAAATCACTTAGGCTCCTATCATAAGTAATTTTACTTACCTGGGAATTAACATTACTGCACTCAGTGAGATTTACTTCTGAGAAAGCACATACTGGATTATATTGTTAGTAGGTTTGTGGCAGAGTCAATAATTGAATTAGGGAGTTCCTCACTCTCAGTTTAGATATTTTAATTAATACAGACATTTTCCCACTTGTACCTAAACATGACACAAACATGCCCTGGCAACTTCTTCTTTTTTTTTTTTTGGTGCTGTGTCCACATGACATTGCTTTCATTTTTCTCTTCGTTCCTTAAGACAGGCTTAAATTTTCCTTAGCTGTACTGATATTAAAATAGTTATTCATTATGAATGCTTTTATGCTGCTTCTGTTTAGATTCTAAACTACTCACAAGCAGCAAAATACAAATACAGTATTAATAACCATAAAACAAACCACAGTCATAAAAATCATGGTAAGACTTCAGTCATAATAATTCATAATCCTACCATAATAAAACAGGGCCAGACATTATCAGAACCTCCCACTACACACCCAGGTACTTATTACTCTTCATACATCCATCTCCAACTATGTGCTAGAAAAGCCACCTTTTCCAAAGCTTTTTGTATACCAAGGGTGAGTATACAGATATTACATCTGAGGAGAGGATATTCCCTAGGAACGGAGTGTTTGCAAAAAATCTATGAGGCTTTTCCATCCATTACTCTGCTGATTCAAATATGGGTGAATAGCACTTCACTTCAGCAGCTTGAATTTTCATTATCAGTACTGGTGTTAAAATAATATTACACACACCCAATTCCAAGTCTGCCCAAAACCAGCCTCAGGATGTTTGAAATCTACTAGGCTTTGTCACTCGTTACCTTGGAGGAAAGTTAGGTAACTAACGTGACTAAATGCAGATCCATTGAAGGAAAGAAATTTCATCCTGCTATGACTGTTGATGATTCAAAGATGGGTGATTAGCATTTCAACTAAGCAATGGAGAAAGGCTCTGTGGCACACCCATTTTGATGTTGGCCAATTCCTTGTTCTCAGAAAATATACATTACCATGTGGTACGCCCACACACCTAAATTATCATATATAAAAATGCTAAAATAATTTTAACTGTCAAGAACTATTTCATAGAAATTACACATTCAGAATCAGACAGCCCAGTTGTAATTATTTGTTTTTGGTGAATAGAGATGCTTATCATTTAATCCTTATTTGAAGTTTTCTTTACTAAATTTAAAAATCTGTAATTACTTTGTATCTAATGACTCTACTTGTAACTTTTATATTAATTTTCTTCCTAGAAACAATGGCACATGTTATGATTGTTATAGACATTAATCTATTCATAATAATTCTAATTGGATTTCAATTTGCAGCCACTTCACTCAGCAGTTATAAAGCTAGTTTAGAAAAGTATAAATTGCACAAACCAAAAAAAAGAAAATAATGATGGTACTGTATATAATGTCAACTTACTTACTCTGAGAACAAAAAAGGAAAACCTCAGAAATCCTTATCAGGGAGAAAGGGCAGAATTTTACAGTACGTATTATGTCTGGGGTCACATGCATTGCTTTTGTGATTTTTTAATTAATAATTCTATATCACAGATTTGTTTCAGTTTATGCAATAAACTTAAGGATTCAATCTTAAAATGAGGCCAAGTATGTTAGTCCAGTCAAGATTTAGAATATCTTTGCTATACCAACTGGTTTTTCAGCACAAACATTTCATATAAATGTTCATAGAGCAGCAGGGACATTGATGGAAGTTTTCAGAATTAAAGAAATAGCAATTTTTAATGGCTTAACTCTATGAATATAATAAACACAATGTAGAACTATTAAAATCAGTACACTTTCCAAAGGCTATTAGTGGGGATGCAAACTGCAGAGTCTTGTTCTCACAACACTGAAATAACAAATAACAGCAAAAGTGCTTAATCAATGAATCAGTAACTATATATTTCAGTTCTAAATCATTCAATTAAAATCTGTTCAGGATTTCTCCATACACATTCGACAAGGCAACTTGAATTAGATACTTTGGTCTGCATGAAAATATTACATGATTAAAATTAAGTAAAAATAAACTTACCACAATGTTTTTCTAATTAAATGTCCTCTGATCCACCTCTGAATAATCAAGATTGGAGAATGATGAACTAGAACCTGATTGATCTTGGAAATTATATTTCTTACTGTTTTCATTTCTTCCTGAAATGTAGTATCCTAAAAATAAATCAAAGCAATATAGCAATGTTCTATCAAACTGCATTAAAGCCAACTATGCTTTAAAACTTGTATTTTTATATATTTCTGAAGGCAGTTATTTTGGATAAAGCATCCTAGTTATTTCTTTATATATTTTGGTAATAGATTGCCTTTATGTAAACCTCTTGAACTGAACTCTCCCATTCTCCGATTATATTTCCATTTATCATAGGAATAGAGTTTTCCATTGTTCTTCTTTTGCAAGAAGTACTTCATATATTTCTGCTGTACCGTGCAGCAGTTTTTCTCCATTTTAGTTTGCCTGGCTTTTGTCAATAGCTGTCAATACTAGAAGCGAGGATACTCACAAGTTAGAAGTTGATACCAATACTGCTAAGTACTAAGCAAGAGTAACAAATTCAGTAGAATTGCTACTTTCAGCATCATCCCACTCTGTCTTAGCAGGATGGATACAATGAATTATAATTCCTCACTAAGTAAATCTTCACTGATTCATATAAGGTCCTAATTTCTCTTATCTTGTTCAGTATGCACAGCTATCCTAAGGAACAATATAAAGGTGTTTTTCAGATCCCATTTGTATAAATCTGTTCCTATTTTATCTCTGACTGGGATTGGTAGCACAATGCCCAAGAAAATTGCTCTACCCCTGAACACCATCTGGGTGCATGGGATCTATATCTGCTAATTTAAGAACAATCTTTGTTAAATTGTTTATCAATGTACTATATATTTAATAAATCTCTCTGTGTGTGTACTTAAAGCATGAATGTTCTTCCATGATTATTCCCAGAAATGTATAAATAACTTGTTCTTAACAATTTTGAAGTGTAATATATTTTGTCTATCCAAGTATGTCATGAATAAAGATTCAAAAGGGATTTTTACGAATAGCACTTTTTTCTCAGTACAGAATTCAATACTTCAGAATTCAAACATAATCAATTAAAAATATTGTTGCCTTTCTATATTATTTAAGCATTCTAATAAATAAATGTTTCTTATTAGCATATGTCATCAGAAATGTGACCCATTTTTACTGGAAGCAAACTTCAAAGCAATAACATGTTATATGCTATTCACTGAAACTGAGCTGAGAAATTTTTCCTAACGATTAATTAGGATAAGTCAGGATTCATCTTTTCACAGGAAATGAAATTGTAAACTTTGTCTGCAAATCCATTCCACCATTTATAAAAATGCTGATCATTTGAAGTGTAGCAAAGTCACTTAATTTTCTGAATATGAGATAGTACTATAACCTGAAACTAATATTGGTTTATAACAGGGAATAAAAATACATCAGATTAGCATATTTTGGAAACAGCAATCCAGATCCTTTCCCAGAGTTGCTCCCCAAGCAGAGAGAGAAGTTTAGGTCTACCATACAGTGGTGCTTTAAAGTTTGTGAAACCCTTTTGCATTTTCATATTTCTGCATAAACATAAAATGTGATCTGTTCTCCACACATCCTAAAATTAGACAAAGGGAACCCAATTAAACAAATGAGTCAAAAACATTATACTGTACTTGTTCATTTATTCATTGAGGAAAATGATCCAAAGCTACGTATTTGTATGTGGCAAAAGAATGTGAACCTTTGCTTTCAGAAACTGGTGTGTCCCCTTGGGCAGCAATAACTGCAGCTAAACCTTCCTGGTAATTGTTGATCAGTCCTGCATCAGCTTGGAGGAGTTTTAGCCCATCCCTCCTTACAAAAGAGCTTCAACTCCGTGATCTTGGTGGGCTTCCTTGCATGAACTGCCTGCTTCAGGCCCTTCTACAACATTTCTCTAGGATTAAAGTCAGGATTTTGACTCGGCCACTTCAAAACATTAACTTCCTTTTGCTTTAACCATTCTTTGGACTTACGACTTGTGTGTTTTGGGACATTGTCTTGCTGCATGACCCACTTTGTCCTGAGCTTTAGTTCATGGACAGATACCCTGACATTTTCTTGTAGAATTTGCTGGTACAATTCAAAATTCATAGTTCCATCAGTGATGGCAAACAGAAGCTGCAAAGCAGGCCCAAACCATGATACTGCTACCATCATGATACTGCTACCATCATGTTTCACAGATGGGATAAGGTTCCTATGCTTGAATGTAGCATTTGCCTTTCGCCAAACATAATGCTTTGCATTCAAGCTAAAAAATTCTATTTTGGTCTCATCCGTCCACAGAACATTCTTCCAATAGACTTCTGGCTTTTCCATGTGGTCTTTTGCAAACTGTAGAAGGGCAGCAATGTTCTTTTTGGAGAGCAGCGGCTTTCTCCTTGCAACCCTACCATGCACACCATTGCTGTTCAGTGTTCTCCTGATGGTAGTCTCATGAACACTGACATTCACCTATGCAAGAGAGATCTCTAGTTCCTTAGACATTACCCTGGGGCTCACTGAGACCTCCCGGAGTATTACACACCTTGCTTTTGATGTGATCTTGGTTGGTTGACCACTCTTGGGGAGGGTAACAGTGGTGCTGAACTGTCTCTATTTGTACATGATCTGCCTGACGGCGGACTGGTAGGATCCAAACTCTTTGGAAAGTTTTGTAACCTTTTCTAGCCTGGTGAGCGTCAACAACTATTTTGTGGAGGTCCTCAGAAATCTATTTTGTTCGAGCCATGACACACTTCCACATTCTTGTGTTGTGAAGCTCAAACTTTGATAGTGAATACCCAGAGTTCTGTTCTTTAAGACAAGACTTCCCACATTCACACCTGATTATCACCTGACTCTAATTTCCCCTTCAAATGAACTGATAATCCTCAAGGTTTATCCACTGTTGTTATCTAGAAATCAGCCAGATTTTTTCAGCCCAGATATGTTATATCTAAATATGGATATATCCCAAGACTTCCATTGATTGGAGCTGAAGACTTTTATTACACAGGTCTCAGTCATTTAATGTTTGAATCCTACAAATGGGCATTCCGGGGCAAAGAATGGATTGCCTAGAGGCAACTGTGAATCCTCTAAAGTCAAGGCTTCTTCATTTGCAGAAGATTTCACAAGATCACCTGCCCCTCTAGGCCAGCCTGCAGCTTGCACTAATAATTCACCACTCATATTAGAAGAATGGAGGAGAGAAAAAAATATCTCCCATTTAATTCTAATCCTGAATGGTACAAACCAAGAGGACTTTGGAAATGGCAAGGAATAAACCACTTTGCACCTCCTCTATCTACTTGGGACAAAATCCTGTAATACTTACCAGAGATGGCTCCCAATGAATTCAATGCAATGTACTTCTGAACAGCCAGATACAGGTAATAGGGCTATGCTAAAAGCAACTCATGTAGAGTTATGACCACTTTCCACAATTAATACTCACACTGAGGTTTTTTATTTTTTTCTGAGAGAAGCAAATATTTCACAAATACACTTACAGGACTCCTCTTTTGAGAGGCAGAATCTTTGCCCACACTGAACTCTAATGCTAATTTGTACTGGCTGGAACACAGGTAAAAGCTACAGAGTGTTACAATATATCTGAACCTTAGTATTCCTAGGAAATCATACATAGTAAATTAAATTACTCTATGTTTACCTTTCCAGAAAGAGGGCAAAAGTCAACAAAAAAGTCCAGAGTAAATGGTTTGTATTTTTCAGGTAGTCTCCAACCTTCGGTTATTTCTTCATCAGAAATGACATAGTAGTCTAATGCCTTGAGTGAAAAAATGCTGTTAACAACAATGTGCCTATAGGCAATTTTCAAGCACAGTGGAGTGTTAAATAAGGTCAGTGCAATAAGATTAGGGCAAAAGGATAATGAGTGCACGTTTTCCAATGTTGAAATTCCGTTATCATGTAGATACAATAATTTTAAATTCTTCATGTTTCCCCAAAACACTGGACCAGGAAGTACTTCTAGCTGAAATAGTGTTGAAAGACAATTTTAAAAGGGGGGGGGGAGAAAAATGTTTTAGTAAATATATTATTACACTTGAAGAGTACAAAATTCTTCAAAAAGCACAACCATCAGATCTGGTCCATAACTATAATTTAGTACCAAAAGCTTGCCTTTTCAACTAAGAAAGAAGAAAAGCCCAGCCAGTGACCACCAACATACCTTTAAATCTGTAAATGTTTCCAATACAAAAATAACACAAAGGACCACATTCATGATGGCTGTGTCTAGACCAGTGTTTCTCAACCTTTATGATGCATGCTGGCTGGGAAATACTGGAAGTTGAAGTCCATGCATCTTAAAGTTGCCAAGGTTGAGAAACACTGGTCTAGGGGAACAAAGGAGAGGGAAGGGGAATCACCAAAATAGCTCAGGGTAAAACTACAGGCAATCAACAATGCCTACAGCAATTGACAGTGCTGTAACAGTGTATCAGTTAAAGGGAATGGGCAGAATCCCAGAAATGAAGCAGTGAACTCTCAGCTATGCTAGGAGAATCTCCAGGTATATTGGAACTTTAAAATTAGAATGATCCAAAAAAACTTCCTGAAATTACAAAATTCACCTACAGCATTTTTTTTAAAGAGCATTAAGAAGCTTCTTTATTAGAAATTATTAATGCCCAGACTTAGAAAACTTAAAAGCAATGGGGATAAATTGGTATAATCAGCTCTAGCTAGAGACATTTTTATCTAAAGAGACTTCTAAGATATTTTTTAATGTAGGAATTATTCTTATACAAGTTGTAACAGAAATAGTATATGGTCTATATAGGCCATTCTGTGTTGTATACATTTTAGATTGTGAATTTATTTCTTTATAAAAATAGTGTACTTTTCACAAAGTAAAGGAAATATCAACAAACAAAATTATGATAGAAAATGTATGTTGCATTGTCTAAAATAAGCATCAAAGGTAAAGACCTGAAACAGAGTTGCATGGGTGTTCAAAGGCATGATTAAGATTGTGTATTCACATAACACAGAGGGACAGAACCTGACATTATCATCCAAAGTCTGTAAACTTGAGCATTCCAATGGAATGTTTTAAAAAAGAAGTAAAATTCCACCCTTCACAGAAATATGAAAGAAAAAATAATGAAAAAATACAAGACATGAAACAAGACAAAAGAATCTTGATCAAATATTTTTCAGGCTGCCATGAGAATACTGTCATCTGGAGTGGGGCTATTAAGCATGAAACATTTTGAACTAAAAGAAAATACATCAATTTATAGTGCTTCAGCCACTTAATTTTATCAACATTAAGCCTAGAAATAAACATTAAATACTGAAAGTAATCTGACTGACTGCCACAATCTTTGAATATGTTCCCAGTGAAATAAAACCCTGGTTCCCTTTAACCCATGGTCATCACATAAAAAGTACCACTGAAATTTCTCAGGATACATTACAATCTATCTTAGTTTTCATTCAAGAAATACATATATTTCCAAAGGTGCTCATTTGGCCAGTTATTCAATAAACAGTTGGAATGACCAAAAGAATCATAATTGATTTAATGATCCATATGCAGTTTCACTAGAAAATTCCATAAAAATAAGACACTCCTAACTTGATGCAAACATTAGGAGTTGGTAAAATCAAGAGTTAGCTATGCTGAGTATACAGGACCATTGGCCATGTCATTAATGGACACTCATTTCATAACACCAGGAAAAGGGACCCTATGCATGGCATAGATTAGATTATTTCAACAAATTACACTTTTGAGGCCATTACTACTCACCTGATTACTATGGAGATCCAATTTAATTAAATTAATGCAATATTCAAGTGCATCAATATTTGTAAGGAAGTTACAAGACAAATCACATATTTTGAGTGAAGCACAATACGGCATTCTTCTCAAATCATTTAGGTACTGTGCACGTAGCCTAACCATAACAAGATCTCGCAGCTTCTTTGCATCACTTTCATCAGCAGTTCGGCCATATTCAAGTAGTAGTTTTTCAGAAGCACAGACAAGGTATTCTAAAAATTCCTCCTCCATAGTTATCTCTGTTATGGTTTATCCATGAGAGATCTAAAGGGGAAAAAGGATTACACAGTATGTTACATTTATTCAACTTTCCTTTTTTAAAAAAACCTTCAAATACACAAAGTAAATATCCAACTGTTTGATACAATACTCCCTGCTTTATAAAAAGACCAACCACAACAGGGAAATGAAGAAGAAGAAGAAAACATATTTAAGAGAGCATTTAAAAACATGTAAGCAACTGGGGGAGAAATGCCATTTTACACTATCAGATAAACAAAACACTACAGATTTATGCCACCACAAATGGGGCATAGAAATATTCTCAAATGCAAATTAGTGGTTTGTTTCATTATATGACATTTTTCCTTCCTGGGTCAAGTCCACCCAAAGAAACAAGCAAAAGTAGTAATATAATGACACTTTAAAAATTATATAATTCAGCCAATATAAATAGTATTTCCAGAGTTTTGGAATATTGATGATATAGATAGCCATATGATCAATAAAACACATAAATTAAAAGCTATTTGAAACAATTTTCATTTCAAAGCTTTCTAAATCCTGAAAATGCACAGACAGATTATTTCATAAAATTATACTCGGCAGAGGGTTTCAAGGGATAGGGATTCTATTGAGAAGTGTCCCACAATCTACAAAGGTGAGTCAACTATCCATGGCGTCAAAATGGCTACTTAAAGAACCATATTTTTTTTAAAAAAAAATGAAAAAATTGCTGTTTACCATTCTATTTATTTATGTGATGGTTTTTATTCATTACCCAGGCTTATATGTCACTTCAATCAAAACCAGTTCTAAGTACTATGTACTCCAATTCAGTAAACAGATTTCACAATACAACAGGATACAAACAATAATGTAATTTAAATCATACTATGCCAAGGAATAAGTTACTGAAAAGAGATAAACTATCACTTACTGCAGAGGGGATTCCCACCTCTCAAATGTAATAGCTTTCCTAAATACCAAAAGGGTTGGTGCTGAATTACAGCCTCTATTATTCCTGAATTTCATAAATTTAAGCCAGCAATCTTTTCAAGTGTGAAACTGAACTGGCACCAGGAAGACCTAGGTTCTAGTCTGCTATCAACCACAGAAGCTGATTGACTGACTATTGGTCAGTCATTCCTAACTCCCAGAGGAGGGAGTGCTATGTATACTATTTTGAGTTCCTGAAGATGACATATAAATCTAATAAATAAATATATTATCATTATGCAATATCATATATTTAAACTTTTCCAAAAAATTGACAGAAATTCAATATTTGCATTTGAGATTTTCAGGATTTCCTGGCCTTATGAACAGCAGTAGTTAAAGTTAAATAAATAAATCTGTCAGGCTTAACGTGAAGTCATAAATTCAGTCCAAATTTCATGCATGCATAGGCAGACTCACTGGGCAGACAGTGTTGAAAGGAACAGCAACCAATAAAGAGGGAGAATCCAAAGTCAAATCATGTAAAATCCCGAGGACAAGTCTTGTCAGCTAGGACCTCCAAGACAGGAACCCATGGAAGCCTTCATGGATCAGCATTGTTCCAGCAATCTCTGGTAAGAGTGAAAGAGGGCCTGCAATTTCCAAGAGAAATAAGTTGGCCAACCTTAGAGTGCTGGAAAGACTATTCCTAAAGAAAAAGCTTTTGGGGGGGGGGGAACTGGTTGTCCACAAATTGCGGGGTTATCTCTAAGTTTGTAGTTTAGAAGTGGTCTTTCAGATCAGTTATAATTTGGGGCTGTTTGCTGGATGTCTACACCAATCTTTGGACATCTGCAGTACCTGCTCCATATAAGACTTGCTCTCTTTGGAAGATAATGCCCCTGAGTGGTCTCCCAGTGTTGGACCCAGAAATGATACTAAGGGCTGATCAAACATCAGGGTATTTGAAGTGACTGATAGCTAGAGGTCAATATATTGGTGGTGATGCCAAAGTAGATTCACAGCTTACAGTGACAGGGTTCAGAAATGAACCCAATAAAATCTCACTGGTGCCAGCCACTACATTTTCTGAATTGAAGGATGGTAGGGCAGTAGACTATACTGTTAATAATTGGATCAATGGCTCTGGCAGGAAGAACAGAAGCAGGTCACCTTGCTGGCTCCTGAATTTTGGCTGCTTTGGTCTTACAACATCACACATAACATCTAATGGAACTGTTATGAAATGCAGGGCAGATATGGGGTTGTCCCAGTATTAACAGGAATAGTATAATCCACTATGGTACCAGAAATGTTCCAAATAAATTTGTCTTTGAGGGAAATCAGCTCAATTATTGTTCCATCATCAATTATAAATCCCAAGAGAAGAAAAGCTAATAAAATTCACCATTCTAAGGGTGATGACAATCCATAACAATTGCAATAAACCAAATTAGGAGAAGCTTTATAGTCCAGAGAATAATGAGACATAAATATCTGAATCACACTTGAGATGTTTATAATGTTAAAGGGAACAAAGCTCCAGTATCTCTCCCTTTCAGTATTGATCAAATTTGCATCTTTGTTGCTAACTGGAGAAATACTGGCAGATTTCCTGGGATTTGGTAAAGGAAATAATGATGGAATTGGAGTCACAATTACCAGCCCAGGAGTAGTAACGGGAAAATATGTTTCTACCATAGTATGTTTAGAAAGAAATGTTGGGTTGAATGCCTTCATCTTTTTCTTTACTGAAAAGTCAGTTCCATGCTTTAATATTATTTCTTCTTGTGGGATCACTTATTTCTAGGTGGAGAGACTGCCATGACTGTACTGGTGGCAGTGGTCAGATCATTTGGAATAGATGGGATTTCAAGGAAGGAGAGGGTTTAGATCCAGTAGGGTCTCATGATTGCAACTGTGACTGTTTCGAACTATTATCTGGTTCTGCCACCATCAAAGTAATTAAAGCCAAGATGAGCAACTCCTTCAAGCATGTTTTATACATTTCTGGCAATAGACACCAGTATTGACTACATCACCTTTACTGAAGCAGAGAAGGAAAAGTGAATGCCAATCTGTTGACAGAAGTTAATCAATTACATTACTTGGAGGACTTTCAAAAGGATGCTGTAGCAATTATAAATATCATGACATGGCATGAAGCCCAAGAGACCAATATCTCTATTTCTTCATCTCAAAAATTCTTGTCTCCCTCTCTCTCATTGGAAAAAAAGGGAAAAATAGAGGGAAAGAAGAATGATAGGTACAAAAGTAAACAGAAATTAAACAAATTTGAAAACAGAGATTTCAACTGTGCTGTTTATGTGGGAAATGTACAGAAAGTTTATCTACAATGTTTATTTATTTACAATGCCTATAATTTACCCCAGTCCTGCAGGGCTCTGTGGGGCATATAACAGAATAAAAACATGTAGTCATGCAGCCCAAAAATTAAGTATAGAAGCTGAATGTCCCCACTCAAGACTATTAGGGGCTAAAGAAGCACTGAAACAATGCAGTTTATACAATATTTAAAACATAGGGACTTCAGGAAGAAATTCTATAAAGGGGCTGTGTGTAGGGGCTGCCACAGAGAAGGCCTTATCATATGTAGTTCACATTTCATAAATCTCATGAATTGGAAAGGACTGTCAACGGGGTCTCTCCAGATGATTGGATCAGATGGGCAGATTCAATCCAGGCAAAGTGTGGCTGATATATCCTAATGCTGTGCCATATGGGGTTTTAAAAGTAATGACCAACATTTTGAACTGGGCCTAAATGCCTACTGGCAATTAATGCAGTGACTTAAGTATATGTGTCACTCTACATTGGTGGGATTGTCTTGCTGCCATATTTTGTATTAGTTGTAGCTTCTGCTACAAAAGCAGCCCTACACAGAGGTCACTGCAGTAGTCCAATCAGGTGGTGAATCAGGGTGTGGGTTACTGTGGTCAGGATGTCCTGGTTCAAGCAGAGTTGTACCTGACACGTGAGCAGAAGCTGGGTAAAGGCCTGTCTGCTTATGACTTCCACCTACTTGCTATCTGAGCAGGAGGTGAGAACTCAGAAGGATTCCCAAGTCATAAGCCACCTACTTCAGAGAGAGTACAACACTGATCAGAGTAACAACCAGAACCAATACTACTGAGTTATACTGACCAACAAGTAAAACTGATAGAATTTAATCAAGCTTGTTTTACCCCATCCAGATCCTGACAGCCTTCACACGCCGGTTTAGGATTTGCTTAGCATCTGTGGCTTGTTACCAACAACACAACTGCATATGTCCTAGGGAACTAATGGAAGAATGGGAGCATGTGTAGACTGGGCAAGCTTCATGCCTACAATTCCTCAGCCATAGCAGATTTCAGATAAGGATTTTGTGCAAGGCAAAAACTAATTGTTTAATGCAGAGAGATTATAATGAAGAATAAAGCTGTAACATGATTCTAAATGAAGTTCCTCAAAACAATGATGGCTGGTTAAACAGAGTTAGATTAGGGATGGGATTATGCATATTAAATCCAAGGGCCTCTTCACTTTATTTCTGTTCTCTCAATAGTAAAAACACTGGAAGCAGCTTCTCTATGAAAAGTGCGTCTCTATGAGATGGGAGTGAACAAGTTTATTGGAAGAAACAGGATGGCAACTGTATGGAGAGTACTCTTTTGGGCCTGCAGTCTACCCTATTGCTATAGAGTAGTTTCAATACAGCAATCAATCTTGCTCAATTGCTAAACATTTTTTTAAGATGTAATCCTTTCTAATTTGCACCATCAAAATCTCCCTTAGGTCACTGGAGATCGCTACAGAAGTAATTTATGACTTCTCTAGTCTTAACTGAGCAAGGCATAAAATTAAATGAGACTGTACTTTAAATTAATTTTATAGATCCATTCACCTCATGTCAATATGCTTTATCATGGTTTAAAGAGATGTCAAATTAATATTTACAGAATTAGCAAAGAAACTTCAAAAATATATTTCTTCTATATTTAAAGACAGGAAAACCACTCACAGTTTCCTACCTACAATATTATTTTAAGGGGCAGATAAAACAGTCATTTTGTTATGACCAAGACTAGTTTCAGACAATTCTTTAAAGAGAATTCTACCTTATTCTTAAGACTTCTTTTATTGCAGGATTTGTGCATGGTAAAACCACATCAAAGGGCACCACTGCTTCATTTTCTTTCATTTGCACTTTGTACCCTTATAATCTCCGGAAGACTAGGCATGAGCTCTTAAAATTAAAAAGAGAGTAAAAGTATCTGCCAAGAATCATAATATAAAATGGGCCATGGCACAGAAAAGAAAAAATTTACACACCAATAATCTTACCTCAAGAACTTTTCCTTAATGCTATTGAGACTACATACCTAGTCATAGTTACAGTTGAGATCCATCAGCAGAGACAAAAACAAAAAAACCCTATAGAACTGTAAAGTTTATTCAACTAAAATTAACTGATACATTTACTTTGCATCCCCAGTATTAAAATTAATGTAAATATGTAAAAATAGATTACCCCACCTGAAGAACAAGAAGCCTAGGCAGAATGTGCTTCCTGGTCACCTTTTCTCTGGTTCTTCAGAGAAGAGCATAAAAAACTTGTTTTGCTGGAAAAAGATTATGCCTGTGGAAAAACTGATAAATCAGTAAGTAAGTAGCTTAAATAAGGGGTTCCAAGTGACAATGACAAATGAATAAAATTTTTACCTCAAGCCACAAACACAACTAATACTGTTTTTATTTTGTGAACTGAAATAAATAATAATAAATAAACAAATACATTTGTGGACTGGTATTATTTTTGCTGAAGGCTCAGAAAATGCGATCACCTCTGTTGTAACAGGAGGATAGATAACATTTGGTTGTTTTTAACCCAGTGATTGCAAGAATTAAGGCCCATCTGGGTCATTCTCTTCAGAAGGCATTAGTTTCTGAGAAAGAAGCAAGCTGATTTGTTTTACATTATCAGGACTGTTCCCAATTATATTTCTATTACCATATTTCTATGATCAAACATAGAAATAATATAAGCTATTCAAATCACAAATCTGTAAAGAAAGGAATTTTTTTTTACACAACTGGTCCCTTCAGCTCTGGATAGCATTGGAAGGGTTATCTAGAATTCGGCGGGGGGGGGGGGTCCCCCTCTAAAATCCTATGATTAAAATAGAATCTTTTCCTAGTAAAGCATATACCACTGACCTGTGAACCTTTAAGAGATCTAGTATATGCACACATATTGTTTAATGCCTTTGTGCAGCTGTGTCTACAGTACAATATGAGGAATACCCTATTTTTCTTTAATTTAGGGAATTTGCTTTGGCTGTACCTCATGAACCTTATGCTGATGTAGAGGTACCGTATCTGGGCTGCAACTATCCAGACAACTGCTAGATGGCAGCAAAGAGCTAGAACTTTCAGTATATACAGTATTTGATTTCTATTTGCAGACATCTGGGTGTTGGTTGCTCAGATATGGCAGCCCTATCAGTAGTAATCCCAATTATGTTAATTGGATTTATACTCTGGTCCATGTATATAGTAGGTGTAGGCTACAAGCTCCTAACAGCAGCAACAAGTGGACAAGTCTTAGTTGCTGGTGCCTTTGTCTGCACATGAATCCTCCTCTCTTTGGCTGTACTTCTCAAATATTATCCAACTACACTTATAGCGTGTTGTGTCAACTCAGCCTGTGTAATTAGTTCATGATTTAGGGCAGAGCTTCTTAATTTTTCTTCTCTCAGGACCGCTTCCCATTTTAAAAATTATGGAGGACCCTTTTGTTTATATTTATCAATATTTACCATATTAAAAATTAAAATTGACACATTCGCTGCCATACAGCTTCTCACAATTGTTTGATGGGATTCTAATATTGCATTATTTTTCAACATAGGCTGGCAAATACAGTAATGTTCATTTCACAGATCCCTGACAGGGTTTTGGGGGACCCCCAGGGGTCCTAGGACCACACTTTAAGAAACACTGATTCAGGATGTTAGGCAAACATCAAAAATTGAATTGAGCTAATCATGAGCAATCCAAGGAAGACTAGGCCTAGTAACCTCCCACCACCACCACAACCAAGGGTAGAAAGCAGCCTGGAAAAAAGAGCAATTGCTGCTGTGAGGAGTGACCAATACTGTACTTCTTTTTGCTCATACCCAGGCAGCGTAATTAAGAGAATTAAGCTCGCTGGGCCCAAAGAATCTCCTAAGAGAGATCGCTCCTTCCGTGACCAGATGCCTCTGCGTGAGAGATCATCCCAAAAGGAAGCAGTCCTCGTTTCCTTTGCACGGTGCTCTCTTAGTAAAAGATATTTGGGGGGAGATGGGGGAGAGTCAGAAGGTTTCCTCCCTCTCGGTTCTCCCCAAGCTCCGCAGCTCAGCAGCAGCAAAGGTTTTCTCTGAACAGCCTCAGCCTCCGGATCCCTTCGCTCTCTCTCCCCTCCTTCCAGTCGTCTTTTCTCCATGCTCCTCACTCACCGGCTCCTGCCCAACCTAAGCGGCCCGTCGCCCTCCTTCCCGAGGGACAGAAAGCGGACCAGACTCAAGGGACGCCTCCGGGTTGCCGAGCAACCGACCTCTTCCGCGACGCCCAAGGCCGGCTCGGCCCCGCCAAGGAAGAGGCGGTGGCATCGTCGGTCTCAGTGCGGAAGCGCGAAAGAGCTAGGCGGCGCGCGACCCCAAGATGCCCCTGGCGGGAGACGCGGAAGCGTGGCGGCGGCGGGCTACCCAGAAGAGGCTGGAGAAATTCGCTGGGATGAGAGGTGGCCCAGGGCTGCCTGCTGCTGCAGCTCGGGCGGCGGGGAGAGCTATCTTAGTTTGGGGCTATGGCAGCACCTTCTTTGGGTGGCTAGTCGGGTGGGCGGCTGTGGGAATAGGACGCCTCTGTAATTGCTAATGCAGAAAGCGTTCAGAATCCACCTCCTCCCCACCCCCCACTGTCTCAGTGGGTGAGAAATATTGGGGTGGCTTAAAATGCCAGTATGTTGAGCGTTGTGAGAAGGCCCTTCTGTCAGATTTCCTTGCAAACTATTCGACAGCACGCTCACGTGCCTTCTCACGGAACAGGCTTAGCACCCTTTTGTTGCCACTCCTAGAGCGGGATTTTAGCCCCCGGTGGAAAAATGGCACAAATTGTAAATCCAGATTGTGAAGAACTGGAGAAATGAAGGGTGCTGCTTGACATCCAAACCTAATAGATTATACTGAAAAGGTTGGAGCACATACCCTATCTCTTCCAGGGGAATGGCTGCTTTTTCCCTGCCTTTGCCTTTGGTTAAAAAGAGATAAATGTGCTCATGTGACAAGAAAATGTGCAATATTTTTCATTTCATCTCTTTACTTCTGAGAGGAAGGGTGTTGGTTTGTATGTTCATATCCCCAAAGATGTTAGTTGCTCTCATTTGGAGAGAAAGTTTTCTAGTGCTACCAGTTGATGCTGAAGAAGAATGTATAGTAATCTTGTTCCTAAGGGGAAGGAGCAGAAATCTAAAGTGAGAGCAGGATGACTTAACAATATTGGTCATTTGACAAGGAAATCCATGCATCTAATGAAGACATGTTCTAACATTCATCGTAGACTATACAGATACACCTTTATCTGACCTTTTCAGTATAACTCCATACATTCTCTGGATTTGCAATCACTAAACCATGGTTTACTTAACCATGGCCTCTTAAATGCTGTTGGCTGGATTTCTCAACATGCTAAGCTGAAATCAAACTGTTATAGTTTAGCATGATGTATGAACCCTGCTTCTGTTTCTGATGAGGTTTTGTAATCCGTTAAAAGTACTTTTACTTCTATGTGGTGGCAAGTAGTTGACACACAACTAATAGTTACATTCATATATAAATTGTATTTCAATTTGGATATGAATGTAATGTTGTAAAGGAGTGAGGCTCTCTGTAAAGGACTGAGCACATCAGTTCTCATACAATGTAGGAGATACAGTGCTCTCATCTTGAGAGAGCTAAGCATATCTAACCAATAGATAGACCCTGGAGAATCTATACATGCAATAAGAGCATTTTAGTTCTGTGCAAAGTAGGGGAGTGTAAAATTCACAGATTTGGGAACAGAATATTCCAGTGAACTCCAGATGTTTCTGTTCCCCTCCCAACCACATTTACTTCTGGAAACTGTCAAACCCCTTCCACAGTCCCCAAGCCTGAATTTTGCACAGCTATTGGAAAGCATTTAAAGGAGGTATTTTTCAATATGTTGGAGTGCATATAAAGCACCTCTTTTTGAATGGCTAAAGCACTTTTGTCTTTTGCAGGCTCACATGGACTTTCTTATGTCCAGTAAAAATTTTGCTAAAAGAGCAATCAGGAAAACATTGGTGCTTATGTCTGATAAAAATAGGGAGGTTGAGATTAAGACTGCATGCTTTGAAAATGATTTGGAAGACTGCTTTGGAATGCACAGGAATGCAAGCGCGCCCCCTTTTTAATACAGCCACATAAAAGACACAGCTATTTGAATCAGTCAACTCATTAAAGAGATGCTGCATTTATGTTTCTACACATTCCAAAGCACCTTTTCCAAATCATTTTCAATGCATGCACATCTTTTGCTGACACTTTAGGTAGCAAGAAGGAAAGCATTAATGGACAACTATATATTAGAATCAAGTGAACTTGAGACTAAGCAAGAAAATGGCTAAAGTTCAGTAGCTTATTGCAGCATAAGTAGAGTTGTAGGTGGGATATGGTAGAACTGGAGGAATCTTGGTTTGGGACAGCTGGAAGGTTATAGGAAAGTTGAATGGCCAGGAATGGCTGAAAACTACAAAATCTAGCCAGAGAGGTAAGGAGTAGGAATCCCGATTCAAGGTTTTATAGTCTTGTTTGGAGTGAGACCATTTGAAATCAGTTTGGCAATTGTATCCTGTGTAATGACATTTTTTTCTTTCCAAACAGGTAAAACTGTGCAGACTGGAGAATTTTGGGATGTTGTTGTAATAACAGCAGTTGATAAAAAGCAAGAAATAGCTTATCAAAAACAATTATCAGAAAAGCTGAAAAGAAAAGAATTGCCCCTGGGTGTAGGTTATCATGTTTTTGCTGATCCTCCTGGACCAAAAATTGGTGGGTTCCTATACTGCAATTGAGAGAAAATTAATAATTTTAGCAAAATAAAACAAAACATATACTGTACACACATATACCCATACACACATTCAAAGTGTAATCCAGTCCTAGCCATGGTGCCATGAGCATTCACAGGAAGGATGAGCAAGGCACGTGATGAAACTTATGCCAGAAATTGGGATAGAAATCCATAAGAGCAGGATTTGCACTGTGAGGTCATAATGTAATCTCGGTTTGCTGCGGATATCCATGCATGATGCTCTGTCAGCATCATGACTAGTGTTGAACTTCAACACATGGAGAACAGAAGGACTGGAAAGGCTGCCATCATCCAAACTAAATTAAGTACTTCTGTTTTCTTCCATTAAAATCCATGAGATTTAAAAATACTTTACATTAGCTGGCTTCTGCCTCAAGTTTGTTAAGTTTAACTTTTCAATCATCTGGTGAGCAAAAACTGAGGCAGTTTGTGGTTAAATGTTCAGTATAATTTGATTAATTTTCAGACAGATAAAAAGGTTCTCCTTCTGGTGCATATTATGACAGCTGTATCTTTTACTGAGAGATTTCCAGAATGTCATTAGAAGCTGAATTATATTAATTAAACTTCCTAAAATATGTTCAAATACTATTATTATGCTTCTTTTGATTCAAATGTGAAATTTCCATCAGTATTAATGAGCTGGATGTTCTTTTGGACAACATGTCATTTGAATAGATTCTTTTAAGGTTCTTTCCAGTTTAGGTAGTATTCTTATCAAATTTTATGGTGTATCAGACTGTGAAACCTTTTCCTTTAGAAGCATTCAAGGGAGAAAAAAGAGATCTGGACATGGAGATGATACATTTGATGGAAGCTTCATGATTTGTACTGCGTATCATTCAGTATCTTATAAAAATGCTCATGGCTAGTGAAAATTATTTACATTTTCTACTCTTCAATCCAAAGTTCAAAAATGTTTTTTTTTTCAATTTAATTTTGAAACATTTCACAGTAAGATCTTGACAGAAGAGAGTACTTCTCATAAAACTGGTTCATTTTAATCTTGAGAAGATAGTCTTTTCATTTCATTTACCTGATTTGGCAAATAGATAACATTTCCATAGCTGTTGTTTGTAACTCTAACATCAGAGGTCACAATCTAGAATTGCCAAGCATCTTCTCCATGGCCACTGTGAAAATGCAAGTAGTCAATGTTTGATGAGATTCAAGATTTCAGAGGTAATAAAAGTATCAATTTTAGGGAATAAAATGAAGTATTAATTCTTATGTAAATGCTCCTATATCAGGTTTACCTTTGGTCTGGCATTGAATATAGGTTATGAAGTTAAATGTATACATTCTTCAACTACTTTTATCCTTTAAGTCAGTAGAGAAGGCAGGTCAAAATCAGATAATCCTTTAGCAAAAATAGAGCCCAAATGTACATATGTGATCATTTATCCTATATTTAAATATTTGCATACCACTTGTACATGTTTTCACCAATGTTATCTTCATAATTTTATGAAGTAGTCTAGGCTGATGACAACTGATCCAAGTTTACTTAGTAAATGTTATGGTTTTGTGTGATTTGAAGTAGCATGTCTTTGAAAAGATAGATGTATCAATTGATTATAAATGAACCCTGTTAAGTGGTTTCATACTGCAAATGAATATCCCTGATATATTAAGTCTTTTGTTATTCCTAAATTTATGTATTGAAATATTTTGTAGGAAATGGTGGATCAACACTTCATGCCCTTCGGTGCATAGAAGAGCATTATGGAGATAAATGGGATACTCTCACTATCATATTAATTCATTCTGGTAATTTTTATCCATCAAATTATACTTCTCTTACATTATGTAGGGTGCATGTCTGTTTGTTTTTTCCCTGAAGTGAAGATGAATTGGGTTTCTTTCCACTACAAAATTATACTCAAAGTCAGATAGGCATATTTAGGGTTAAATCATAACAAGAAAATATGGTTCAAATTCTGCTCAAAATTCCTTAGAGAAAGGAAGGATTGTAGAACAAATAATAGTATTAATGACCCACAGAAATTCAGTTATTTATATTCACCTAAAGCTGGAAAGGATAATGTATGATATTGGTATACAGTATTGAATTCAGAAATTCTTTATGATTTTTGGCATGATGATTTTGCAACTCACTAGAAAGCAGCCATTTTAGTGTTACCATGCATTAGAATATGATGATTTTCTTTGATTTCTTAAACTGATGTTTGGAAGTAGAAGTAGACAGACAATCTGTAACTTCCTCCAGACAATGTAGAAGTACTGAAGATAGGAAAACAACCATTTTAAATGAAGGTTTACAGCAAATAAGTGAATTGCATAGATTGAGAGTTCTTCCCGAGTTTTCATAATGGAAATGCAGGATGCAGGAGTACCTTTCACCAGTTTAACATGTATATTAGCTGTAACCTGTCTGAAGAAGCCTGAATGTGTCTTGGTAATGCATTAGGCTCTCTATGTGAGGTAGCATTTAAAGAGAATTCAGCAACACCAGTTCATGCACAATGAAGCCATCCAGGTGTTGGTGGGAGTTAAACAGCATCACCTGCGCTAGATACAAATGTGTTTCTGAGTTCAGTACAAACTGCTAGTGTTAACCAGGAAAGCTTTGAGTTAAGTTTCCGCCCATACCAATGTGCTCACAATCTTTCTTTCTTTGCCATTTTTATAATTATTTTAACTCTTTTATTCTACAACTTTATATAAATAGCAGATTTATTTTTAGCATATACAATTTTTAAAAATTGTTTTGCTGAAATGTTCTGTAGACTCTGTAGACTGTCCAATTAAGGTGGTTTTATTTAGAAAATTCTCCAGGTCAATGCATCTCTGTTCACTTTCCTTGGGTTGGGCCTGATAGTCTCCTCTAAACAATTGCACAGACATTACTACTGGTTATATCTACCCTCCTGCTCTGCCCCCCATCATTCCCAAATCTGTTTTAGAAGGTATGGGGGACACTCTGAAACAAATGGTAAGGATTTGCAGAGAAAAGGAAAAAATGGCAGTTCCGTTGCATGAAGCAAAGAGCATTTGCATAGCATTGGACTAACCCTGTATTTTACAGAAACAATTGAAGCAATGACTATCTTAAAGTATGCAGTGTGCTAGTTTGCTTTTTGTGCAGCATCCAAAAGTAACATTTATGTAAAACTAAGGAATAATTAAGAATCCTGTCATTTCAATACGGTTGTATAAATTGAGGACAGCTATCAGAATTTAAATCTAAGCTTTTACTTGTTTTGTAAATATTTACATGTTTTTTAAAAAAATATTATAACCTGCTCTAAGCTTTTGGGATATTTATAAAACTAAAATCCACTACAACCTGGGTTTCAGATAGTGAATATTCTAAGGGTTATCAGAGGAAGTTATGAATAAGTGTGTGTATTTTCACAAATCTGTTTCATACATCAGATTAAAATATTTACACAAGATATTATAAGAATCAGCCTTGAGTAAAATTCTTTAGAATCTGGCTGTATATGAATATGAACACATGCAAGTTTTATTTATATTAAATAATCTTTAATTTTTGTGTTTTTATAAAGGTGGTTATAGTCAACGTTTACCGAGTGCCAGTGCCCTGGGAAAAATATTCACAGCTTTGCCTTATGGGGATCCAATTTACCAAATGCTTGATTTGAAATTAGCAATGTACATTGATTTTCCTGCTTATATGAATCCAGGTGTTTTGATTACATGTGCAGATGATATTGAACTTTATAATATTGATGCAACAGAAGTCCTAAGGTTTGATCAGCCTGGATTTACTGCATTAGCTCATCCTTCCAGTTTGACCATTGGTACAACTCATGGAGTATTTATATTGGAGCCTCCGTTACATCTGACAGAAAAAGAACTTGAATACAGATCTTGTCATCTTTTTCTGCATAAGCCTAGCATTGAAAAAATGTATCAATCTGGAGCAGTTTTTAAAAGGAGTAATTATCAGGGATCATCTTCTGGAGAACTAGGAGATTCACTTGTGGAATCTGAGTTTGTATATACAGATAGCTTATTTTACATTGATCACACCACTGCAAAACTACTGCTAGCATTTTATAAACAGATAGGCGTACTTTGCTATGAAATAGATGCATATGGTGATTTTATGCAGGCATTAGGGTCTGGAGCAACAAAAGATTATGCAAAAGTTGAAAAAGTTGCAAAAGAATCAGGTCTAATAGAAATAAGGGAGAAGATATTTACTGTACTAAAAGGTTTGCCTCTCAATGTTATACTCTTAAATAACTCCAAATTCTATCATATTGGGACTACTCGTGAGTGTTTGTTTCATTTCACTTCTGATAGAAAGATGAAATTGGAGATGGGTCTGCTACCAAATGTTTTTAGCATCTGTTCAAACACTGCAGAAGATTTGGGTAAATCAGCATGTATCATTCACAGTATGCTCAATTCAAAGTGTTTTGTTGCACCTGGTTCACTAGTTGAATATTGTAGATTGGGATCTGAGGTTTCAGTGGGAACTCATAGTATCATCAGTGGCTGTTCCATTGACACAAAAGCAGACATACCACCAAATACTTTCATGACAACCCTGAGCATAACAATTGATGGAGAATTAAGGTATGTGAGCATGGTGTTAGGCATAGAAGATAACTTGAAAAAGAATGTGGCAAATCTTGCAGATATACACCTATTAAGTTTTTTTGGCATTGGTCTTATACAATGCTTAGAGCTCTGGGGCTTGAGAATTTCAGATGAGCTCTTTTCCGGGAACAAGTCATGTCTAAGTTTATGGACAGTTAGAATCTTCCCTGTGTGCCCCCATTTAAGTGATTCAGTGAAAGTGTCATTAGGAATTTTAAACTCAATAAAAAATAAGTCCCCATTTAAGCTAGATGGTTTTAAGCTGTTGTCTATTGAAGAAATGCTTTGCTACAAAGATGTGGAAGATATGCTGAAGTTCAGGCAGCAACTTTATGAAGAAATCAATCTGCAGAAACTGAAAGAGAAATCTTTTATATAAAAGTGTTGAAAAATCATACTTTTCCCCATATTTTAATTCAATGAGGGCTAATTGCTTTCAAGGTTTCCAAACCCCAGAAGCAAGTACTATGCATATTTTTGTGTTTCATTGAAGTAGAAATAATGAAACTGCATTAAGACTGTTATTGTAGCATAACATTAATAATGCAAAAAAATGCAGATAAACTATGCTTTTGATGAAAACATTAATGAAATATTTCAAATCTATAAAAACACAAAGGAGGAAATTTTCTTTGCTCCATATTATGTTTTCAGTTTTTTAATTCAAGTGGGAAATGGAAGTTATTAATTAGGAATTTGATTGAAAACTACTTAAAACTTTTACAAAGAAAAAGTTACCTCTGACAACAAACTTACTCCTTACAAGTTTGTTCATTATAAATAGGCAATAAAGTTGTATTGTACTCTTAAATGTATGTTCATAACACTATTCTGTGTTTCATGTGTAAATTTCATCTTTATCCTGACATCTGTTTACAAGGCTGGGGTCAGGTGAAGCAAAATAGATTGAAATGTATAAATTAGGTAATCAAGATTCCTTAAACACATTGTTTAATTAACTATGCTTCATTGCTAAACATGAAATGTTATTGGGACAACTGTCAAATTTTTATCAATTATAGTTTCAGTATAGTTAAACATTATAAATAAAATACCCAAGCTAGATAAAGATTATTAATAGTGCCAGGTACATCCTGGCATTATCATTACCACATAATTATGGAATGCTTTTTCCAAACAGGTTAAATCCTAATTTAATATATTTTGGGCATCAGGGAAATGCAAAGCAAGTTTATTCAGAAGGAATAAACTCAGTTCAATTACAGGCTTGATCATCAGAATTTTTGGCAAGTAATATTTATAGTTAGCTTTTTAAATTCTTAAATATGCAGCTTCTTTTGACCCATTTTTGTATAATCATGTTATGATAAAAAGGTGATTTTATAATGCCATTTTTGTATAATGATCATGTCAAAATAATAAAAAGGTGATTTTAAAATGCCTATTTATTTGTTTAGTTGATCTATATGCCTGACATATATGACTGGGTGGCTTACAATAAAATAGATAAAACACACAATTAAAAAAAAAAAAGACAGCAGCTGGGAATCATAAAAACCACCATTAACATGACCAGGAGATGGGCTCCATCACATACCCAGGGCCCCAGGTCCAAGCATAAAACCAAGTTTTCAAGGCCTTGCAAAAGTCCTGCAGAGTCAGGGCTAATCTGATCTCTGGAGGGATGTTGTTCCAAAGGGTGGGCACCACAGCAGAAAAGGCTCTCCCCCTGGGCCCCATCAGCTGACATTGCTCAACCAACAGCACCTAGAATGTGCCCCTCCTGCTGGATTGGGTAGGAGGACAGAAAGCTGGGGAGGGGTGGTCCTGTAAATAACCCAGTCCCAAGCCGTGAAGGGACTTAAAGGTGACTACTAGCAATTTGAATTGTACCTGGAAGCATACTGGAAGCCAATGCAGCTTGCAGAGCGGTGTCACATGTGCCAAATAACCATCCCCATTAACTGCTTGCACTGCCACATTCTGCGCTAGCTGAAGTTTACAAATACTCTTCAAGGGGAGCCCCATGTACAGCATGTTGTAGTAGTCCAGTCTGAAGGTCACTCTCTAAGCTCTCTGACATCTATCTGATGAAATGTGACATATTATTGTTTTCAACAAATAAAATAGCTTTTTTAAACAAAATTAATTATAGTATTTGATTTACATGTTTCTATAGTTTTCTTAAACTTTTTTGAAAGGCTAATTTAAAAACATAAACCATAGTTCAGAATCTAACTAAAAGTTTGAACAAATAAAAACATTACTACTGTGTGAAAGTTCCAGGCATGAATCCAAAGCATAGAGCATTTTCAAAATATTCAAACTGCCTCTCAAGTGTCTTAAATTTGAAGCAATCCAAGCAAAATCAGTCTTCTCACAAAACATCAAATCCACCTTGTTTTTTATAAAGTTCATACATCTTTTTGTTAAATGTTACTACAAAAACCCTGAGGTGGAGAGAGGATTCATTCCTACCTCATGGAGAGCCATGAGGAGAAAAGAAGGAAAATGAGGGAAACAGGAAAAAAGGCGGGCTCCAAGCCTCTCCCACACAAAGCAGCAAAGCTAGGCCGCAACTTTGTGCTCGTGTGAGACAGGCTTGGTTGAAACCCCATATTTTCCGACACTTTTAAGCTTACTCAAGCTTTACGAGTTATGCTTAAAAGTGAAAACATAAGGATGAAGGGAAAGGAGAAAGAAACAGTTAATTTGCCTGAAATGCCACGCCAAGGCTGCTCTGGACATTTCGGTTCAGGCTTGGGGGTGCAGGCTCTGAGTTCTCCAGCAGTTGTGGTGGCTGGCACTACCGCCAGGGTGATGAGCTACCCTCGTGGTGCTCGTGGGCTGTTGGGTGTTGCTGCTGGCATTCATCCCAATGCATCTGCCTTGCCATGCACTTTTGAATAGTGGCTTATTAGATGGCCACCATATTCTACCTGACAGTCGGGCTCAATGGTGTGCAGCTCCGACAGACTTTGACCACCATTATTGGCTCGGTTGTGTCAGCTTGGCATCTTTGGACTGCTACTGACTCCACTGTGCTGGCAGAAAGTGAGGCACAGCAGGAATAGGTTGCTCTTAAGGCTAGGCCTGGTTGATGGGGGATTGGTCATCTGATTTGCACTGGGCCTATACTGATGCTATTTTGGATCCACAGCCAGCCCTGATTCTTTCTTCACTCAAATTTGTGCACTTTTCGGATTTTTCTCTTCCAAATCTCTAGATTGTGGATTTTTGGGTGAACCCAGTGTCCTTTATCAGGCTTTGCTTGAGGCTATGAGCTTGTTTTGAAAACACTTTACTGTTTACTTTAATCCCACTTACGGGGATTAACACTCACTGGGTGGATTAGGTATTCTGCTGCTCAGAAGATCTCTATAACTTTCTTGTGTGTTGGCTTGAAGATCTGCAATTGATCAATTTCCAATTCCATGTAGCTTAATAATACCTCATCCATTTAAAAATATGTTTTCTATTGTTCTCTGTTTTCCATGAGCTCACTTCTTTGTAGCTTTATTGCATATCTCACCATGGAGAGTGGTAAGCAGGATTTTACCATTTTCAGGGCTTAGTATTTCTTCTTTTTCAGGACTAAAAGTAGATGATCCAACAAATGACACTACAGCTTGAATCAAGCACACTTCCTTCAGTAATGCAAGTTAGTTGCAAGTTTACTTGCACTGCAGAATATTGGGGACACTGATTATCTGAATAGATTCAAAATATTGAATTTTGTCTTTAATTTCTCATTCTTAGGGCAGCATTATCCATATGAAAATGTGTCTGTGTTCTGCAAATGTTCCACTTATTAGTTGCAAGCTCTTTTCTTGTCTAATTTGTTACATCTGGGCAATTCAGCTCACCAGAAAGGGGTAGTGGGTGGGGGTGGGGGGCTTGAGCTTGCTCCCCTCAGACTCAGTGTTTGGCACTTGGAGCGGTAGATTTTTGCTTGAGACAAACCCTTGTGACACCCATGGCTGGGGTGTTCCTGCAGAGCTCTCCCTATTTTCTACTTCCTGTTTGGCAGCCATGGGAGGTAAATCAACTTAGGCTACCTGGACTAGGGTGCCCCCATGTAAGAGACTGGGAGGGTGAGGAAAGCCTGGCCAGCAGTGACAGTGTTGGCTGGGGAGGGGCTGTGGTGTTTGGGAAGACTGAAAGTGTCTCCTGGCACTGTATTCTGTTTGATTGGTAGTTATTTTTTTCCTTCTTCCTTTTTTGTAATTTCTATATTGTTTGGTTTTATGATTGAAGGGGGGGGGAGGTTGAGTGGTTGCACCTCTTGCATATTGGGGTATACATGAGTGGCATATGGCCAGACTGTTGAGTGGAAGGGTGGGGGGTGGGGGAGAGGAAAGAAGTGTATTAGCTCCCATAGTACATAGGATTGAGGACATGAGGCTGTGAAGTAGGGGGATTTTGGTGGCAATATCTCCGCTTTGTTGGTCAGGAGACGTATAGTGGGACACACCAATTAAGCCATTTCAGGGGAAGAGAGACCTTCAATTTGTTGGCAACCCCTTTTTCCATTTCAGCTGTCTCTACCTGGGACATGCTGGCCAGATTATCGGGGTACCTGGCCTCAAGTTGGTGTTAGTTAATGCCAGGTCTGTCTGTAATAAGAGTGTGTCCATCTATGATCTAATGGTGGATGAATGGGCAGGGTTGGCATATAACACTGAGACCTGGCTGATGGAGGGCAGGGATGTCATAAATCTGCCCAGACAAGGTTTCAGGTTTTGCACCAACCTCAATACCAGAGTGAGTGAGATGGGATGGCATTGATATTACACCAGGGTCACTGTTTCCAAGGTGGCTGGGTGTGAGTATCTCTTTTTCTGGATTGGCCATAGGACAAGCTCAGGGACCTTTTGGTGTACCAGTTGTCCTGTTGCCTTTTAGGATGCTTTCTTAAGGTCTTGGACCTGTTTGCTGCCTTGGTGATGGACATCTCCCCTTTATTGGTACTGGGGGACTTCAATCTCCAAATGGATTGGTCTGGATCTAGTAGAGCTCATGAGTTCATAACCTCCATGACAACCATGAGCTTGTCCCAGGTCATTTTGGCTCCAAATCCTGAAGGCAGCCACACATTAGACCTACTTTTTGCCTCCCAGCACTGCTATGTGATCGAGATAGAGGGGTGTTACCATTTGCCCTTTGTCATAGACAGATCACTTCCTAGTCCAGATATGATTGACTGCCACCTATTTTTTCCACAGGACCCGGCCCATTTGGATGGTGTGCCCCAGATGCTTTATGGATCCACCTGGTTTCTGGCAGGCACTTGGGGATTTCCATGACAATCGTGCAGGTGAGTCAGCTGAGGGCCTGTTCACAACTGACCTGAGGAAGTGTCTCAGACCCTTGAAGAAATTGTTCCTGAGGCGAAATTGTTCCTGTCTCTGTCAGCCAATCTGGATCACTTATTGGTTCACCAAGGCCCTCCAAGAGATGAAGTGGCAGAAGCAGGTAGAAAAGAATGAAAATTGGATCTGACCAAGCACAGTTACATGTCCAAACCTGGGCCTACTCCAGGGCGATAAGAGAGGCGAAACATAATTATTTCTCCTCTTACTGCTTGGTTGTGTAGAGAGTAAGGAAGATGACCTTGACAGAGATATGCAGGCTCCATTGCCTAGGCAAAAGGGGCTAAAGCATTTTTTAAGTCCAGAATGTCCAGATATTGTTAGAAATTTTCTCAGACAGACACCTCCCTAATTCACTGAACTATCAGAAGGAGAAGGAGTTACACACAATTAGACTTGCAAGATTCTGTTATTATAGCCAATCTCAAAAAGTACTGTTGTAGACATCCCGTGGAGTTGTATTTATTATATGTATATGTATATATACATTTTTCTCATATCTGAAAATGCCTTCCATTGTTCTCCACCCATCCCCACCCCTTCATTTTGTTCTTGCAAAAGTCTTGTGAAATAGATTAAGCTAAAAAATTGAGGCCAGCACAAGGTCATACCTGAATCAGTAGTTGAACCCAGGCCCTTCTAGTCCTCATCACATAATCCAACTAATGTATCAGATTCCTCTCTCTTTGTTGTGTTATATAAATAGGAGTAAATAAATTAAGTGATGTAGATTTTAACATGCCTCTGGATTCACAATTTAATAATAAGCAAGGTAATTAAAATGATTAAAGACAATTAAAGCAAAGTTATGGCATTTTCAGTTTTGTAATGAAAGTCTTTTAAAATATTACTCAGTTCATGTTTTTATAAATGATAGCCATGTTAGCTCATGAAACAATAATAATAAAAATATCAATTTCAGTTTAATCACTATTATTATATTTATACTTTAGCCCAAACACCCAATGCTGCTAAAATGATGACAATTTCTAAAACAGTCTCTACCCTCAGTTTATAGAAACCATGACTCAAAAGAAAAGCTTAGAAGGAAGAAGGCCAGTAAA